CTGGTTGGCTGGTGTTAGCTGGTAGTTCACTGAGCTGGTCTCAGATGGCAGACTCTCTCCATGGCGTGGGCAGCGTCACATTTTATTCTGTTCTCTTGGCCTTCGCTGGGCTTCTGGGAACCTGCCTTATCTGTGGGAGACTCTGAGGTCGGCTAGAGATTTGGGGCAGAATTGAGACTCAGAATTTGAGGAACCCTCTGCCTGGCTCTCCTCTCACTGGGATTTCCCCCCTCACTTTCCACCTCCTGTGGTGACTCAAGCCCTGGTTCTTCAAAGCAGCAAGATTGGGCCTGCTTCTGGCTAAAGGCCTTTGAAATGTGGGCCCCGCCCTGTGCCATTGCCTACCTCTGTGTCAGCTTCCAGACTGGCCGCCTGGGTGGCTCTCCTGCTCCCCCCGCCACTTCTTAAGTCCATCGTCCCTGCCCGCAGGAGGGGGTGGTCACATAGGAGCTACTTGAACTTGGCAGATATAAAGAAGTCACCATCTCAAAGGAAGATTTTAGTAGAAATGACTTCTTTAATAATTTTGAGATGGGTAACACAATTACACAAAAGTACATTATTTCCTACAGTCTTCGATACCTAATACACAGACAGTGGTTTTAGTGATTCCGTGAAACAAGATGCCCAGTCTGCCCGGCCTGTTTGTGAGGAAAGAGGCGCAGAGGCCAGGGCCGCCACCCTGGCCGGGGCATTTACCCCAGGCCAGCCCATTACAAACATGCCGTCCCAGCTCAGGCTGCCCCCAGCCTTGCTCTCTGCACAGACCGGCTGCTGCTGCTGTGTCAGAAGGTCAGCTCCATTCCTCTGTGGTGAGGCTGTGCTGGTCGTTAGAAGAGATCATGTTTCAGACTGATATTCCCATGAACTTGCCAAAGCAAGCCATTCCCTCTTGGCTTTTTCTTCCCATTTCTTGCTGCTGTTTCTCTGGACATTTTCAGATTAGCCTGAGTAGCTGTGGATCCAGCCTGATTCCTGTGTCCACAGCAAATGTGATGTCACCATAAAATGATGTTGAAGTGACCAGTCCAGTCTTCTACAAAAAAAGTTATTCAAGCAAATAACTTTTTAAAAGAAGAAATGTTGTAGGGTTCTTTTGTTTAAAGAAGAGTAGTATTCTCGGGAAAAAGGCTACAGAAGTGAAATAGATAAAAGCCCGTTGTCCCCTAGTAGCCTGTAAGGCAGGCAAGAGAGAGAACAAGTAACTCACGCTCACTTAGGAGCGTGACTGTTTTCCTCCCACGCCTTGTCTCTCCGTCCGTCCGAGCGATGGAGGGGGCAGACCGAGTTCTCCTTTATCAATGAGGAGACAGGTAGAAACGGCCAGGCTGGGTGTGGTCACCGCCGCAGCGAGAGGCAGCGGCTCACTGGACCCTGTGTCCTGGCCAGCCTGACCGCTGCCAGCCGCTGTGAACCATCAGAGCTGGGGATCTGTGTCCGTGTCAGTCCTGGAAACGAGGAACCTATTAGACCACTTTCTCGCTCTCCATGAAAATGCCTTCGAAGTGAAGTCATGTTTTGTTGCTCCAGAACGGAAATTTAATAAGCCCTCCCCGTGCCAGCTCGCCGAGGCCCCGAGACCAGGCCTCCCCGGGAGGGAGCGTGCAGACGGAGACTGCTCAGCGCCCCCTCAGCCAGGGCGGCCCTGTCCCTGCCCCGGGGTCTTCGATGACCTCTGTCCGAGCCGGGGGAGTGAGAATAAAACTGACGCGGAATAAGCCCTCCCTCTCCTCCTCTCCTCTCCTCTCCTCGCGGGGGGACCTGTGGATAAGCAGACACAGTTGCCGGGAGTTCTGATGGTTGAGTGAGTCTTGGCTTTTATTGTTTCGTCTGCTTGCAAGTTTGAGACTGAGAGCCACATCCCAGGAAAGGAGGGAGGGCTCCATGCCAGTTCCCAGTCGGCAGCTCCAAGTTCCTAGTGGAATGTCTTGCTACTAAAAATACTGTCATTTGGGAAAGTATGTTTAAATCTGACCTCTTGACATTCTAGCTTTTTCGGGTTCTTCGGCAGCAGCTGTGCAGAGTTCAGAATTGTCTCCCCATGCCCCTGAGTCCACTGGTGGAATCGTCTTCCACTGTGAAAACAGGCATCCTATGAGCTACTTACATTCCCGACCACTGCCAGCAACAAAGTACGGTTTCTCAGGAGCGCCTTGTGTTGTTTTGGTGTGAGAAGGGAGAGCTGAGGTTGGGGGAACTGGCTCCCAGCTGTCACTGCGTTCTTGGGGGCGAGGCTGGCCTGTTCAGTGGAGGGGACATCGAAGTGACCGGCACGCAGCTGCCACACGGTCCTTGAGAGTGACGACTGCGAGGAGCCCACCACTAGCCCCACAGGGCCGCGCAGGGCTGTCAGCGGGATCAGACCGGATGTTCAGGAGCCGGAGAGCCGGGGAAACGAGGTGGTGGAGACTCCAGTGGACGGAGCTGGGGAAGGTCTGTGGTCGGGACCTCTCGTAAGCTCCGTGGTTTTTGTGGGCACAGTGACTCCATTTCACCAAACAACCCGCGTGCCATAAATTTTCCCCATGGGGCCTATTTAAAATAGAGGCCCCCTTCCTTAAAGACATGTCACGTGTGGTCTGACCATAGTTTGCTTGGGTTTTCCTTATTTGAAAAAAGGATTTTTTTTCTTGATTTTTGTGGACTTTTCAGTTGTCTTAAACTGTAGTTTTTGGAAATCCTGATTCCAGGGGTCCGTTATTTACTTGGAGGGTCAGGTGATTGAGAGAAGGTGGCTCCTTTGGGTCCGTGTCTCAGGCTGGATCCCTGCTCTGACCCTCTGGCCACCGGGTACACAGGGAGCTGGTGCCGGGATCTGTGGTGATCCAGGCGTGTGAGGGCAGGATCGGCCTAGTGGGAGCGAAAGTCAGGCAGACAGCCCCATCTACAGAGCATCTCCCCAAGGGTGACGTCGCCGGGGCCCAGCTGCCTGACGGCGCGCGCCTCCCAGCCTCGAGGGTGACGCTGCATTCTGAAGTATTGAAGCTGCGTGTCTCCTCGGTCATGATGACCGAGCTGGAGCAAGAAGAAACCAGACCCTGTTTGAGGAGGGTGGATCTTTCCCCTGAAACAGGAAGCAGTCCCCTTTTTAAAACCCTCCGTTGCGGGGATAGTTTGCTGCCCCGGGCGCGCTGGGAGCTGGGCTGGGTGAGCAGCAGCTGCTTGTCAGGCAGGACTGTCTGTCTGAAGCAGCGAGCACATTCCCCCATGAGAACAGAGCGTTGCAGTGACCTCACTCCATGAGTAATTCTGGGCGCGGACTCCCTGCATCCACCAGGCGGCTGCATTCCTACAGCTCAGCCTTGCAGGCCTGGAGGAGAGCCGATTGCCACAGTGGGGACAAGAGTCCCAGACCTGCCGCCCGCTGAGCCCGGGGGCCCGAGTGCATGGGCAGGGGCAGAGGCTGGCTTGGCGGCCTTCTGGGTAGCTTCTGGATGGCAGAGAGCAGGGCAGGATGCCGCCCAGCCGGCACAAAGGAGTGTGGGATGCAGCGAGGCCCTGAGTAGTCGAGCGGTGGTAAGTAGGTGCTGCTGTTGTGGGCGGGGGCCCGGCACCCGGTGTCTGACCTGTGGGGTCAGCAACCTCGGACCTTGGGTTCTGGCTGGGAAGGAATTCAGACAAGACCCAAAGCACAGAGAGCATTTCCTGGGTGAACCGCAGGGAGAAGTCGTGCCCAGAAGAAATGGTCAGCAGACAAGCTGTGGGGGGGCCTTGGAGCGGGGGCCGAGGAAGCTCGGGGACCTGCCTGGGGGGAGGGAAGAGGGGGCAGGCTATGCGCCCAGGAGGGAGAGGCCCTGGGCCCTCCATCCTCAGGGCTCTCAGGGCGGAGATTGTGGGCAGCTCCCGGGGAAGGTCCAGTAGAAGAGGCAGCGGCGTCCAGGTGTGTCCTCTCCGGCTGTGCTCTCCACTGAGTGACTGGCCGGCACCAGGGCGGGGTCACTGTCCCGTGCAGCTGGCCCTGACGTCAGTGTGGCTGGGTTTGCTGCTTGTCTGGGCCTGGGGCTGAAACAACTGCTCCAAACACACGGAGATGTTACCTTGCGGGAGGGAAAGTCAGGGGTCCAACCCTCATGACCAGCGATTTGCTAGGGGAGGAAGGTCGCCCTGGGGCTGAGGTCCCACCCAGCAATTGACTGTCCCTTGCTAGGCCACCTGGGCTTTCCATCCTGGTGACCTATACTCGCCCATCCTCCTTGTTCTGCTCATGTCCGTCTAACTGCCTACATCACTACTATCCACAACCCTCAGCTTAAAGCAGCTGGTATTCCAGAAGTGCTGCAAATACTGTCACTGTTTCCGTATTTTCCTGAGGGGTGCATACTGGATAGCCGAAAGCGAGTAGGAAACAGCAGTATACGGAGGTGATGGCCAGATTGCTGACTGCCCCATAACATGCTGGCTCCCGCGTGACCGGATTCCCACGAGGAGTCTGTCCTGGGGCGTGTCTGTGTGGGTGAGGTGCCGGGTGCTTGGGGTAATTCTGCTCTGCTCCACACACATGTAGGCACACACATCCATCCCGCCTGGGCGCGCCTTTGATTTCCCACACTCTCCGTGTCTCCCCAGCTGTCCTCTGACCTGTGGCTGGGCTGCAGCTGGGCTTGCAGTTTGGGCTCAGCTATTTTTGAGTCATTTTGTGAAGAGTCAGAAACCTGATCCTCTCTCCCACTCTTGATTGCCGTCTACTGAGCGCCCGCGTGCTGCTGCGTGCTGCGTGCCGCGAGACAGGCGGGTGGGGCTGGTGCGTGCTGGCCTCCCGCGGCTCCCTAACCGCTGTGTTGTCTCTGCAGCACAATCTTGGAGGAGGAGAAGGCTCAGCACGAGGAGCGCGTGAGGATGGAGTCCAGGCGACAGGTCACCGTGTCCTGGGACTCCGGAGGGTCCGACGAAGCTCCGCCCAAGGTAGCAGCGGCCCCCACCCAACTCCCACTCCTCCCCGACCTCTGCGCCCTTAGGGGGTTGGGGGCAGCTGTCAGAGAGGAAGCCGTACCTACGGGAGGTTCTGGGAGGTTCTGAGAGTGACCCGTTCACTCCAGCAGTGGTTTCCTGTCTGCTCCTCCGTGCGCTCAGGTTGGACTCATTTGCTGTGATTTAAATGCTCTTTCTGACCTCCCGCCCTCCCCCTTCCTCTCCTGTCTTCCCCCCCTCTCCCCTCCCCCAGCCACAGACTGAGCAGCCTCCCTGGGGAGGCTTTTTGTTGGCGGCAGGGACTTGCTCCCGTCAGGTCAGGTCGTCAGGTCACCTTAAAGCAGGAGAGGGACTAACCCAGGCCCTGAGTGCTTT